AATCATCTGCACGGGTAATTGGAATCTCCTTAGCAGGAGTTGGAGAGTCGGGAAAAAAAAAAAAACGGAGCTGAGCTTAAGTGATGAGTTTAAATCGCCCATCAGCTTGGATGCCAGAACCGCGGGCAAACATTATAGACATTATAGATTCCCTATGAAGGGGACCCGGCCTGTCCCTCTCCTTCTTTTGACTGGCAACCCCCGCTCCTCGGAGGTCACCTCAAAACCGAAAGCGCTACCTTCGAGAGTATTAGTAGTAGGAAACAGAATAACTGAGGGATTCGGATTCTGAGGGAAGGGGACAAGATGACAGGAGCACCCGGGCTTTGCTCCCACCCGGATGGGCCCGTCCCGGGGCAGCGCGGGGATCGTGGCGGCAGCGGAGCTGTCCCTTCAGCACCACGGGCCGCGGCCGCCCGGCTCGATCTCTGCTCCGGTTCAATCCCTGTCCTGGCCTCGGCGAAGCCTCGATCCCTTGCTCTAACCTGCCTGGGCTCAACCCCGGGTCGGTCTCGGGCTCGGTTCAACCCCGGCTCAACCCATTCCCATCTCGCTGCTCCCGTAGGCCTGCCAGCGGAAAATCCAAACAAATCCGCCTCCCTCCCGGTGCCCCCTCCTCCTGTCCCCAGGTTTCTCAGGGAGCACTTCCCCAAGGAGCCGGAGGCACTGGGAGTGAACTCTTCCCCTCCCACCCACCCCATTTCCCATCGGCTGAGAATAATCGCGTGTGCGTCTGCACTCTGCTCTTCGCTGTTCTTCGCTCTGAGGCAGTTGTTCCTGCATGAAGTTTGCCAAGGGAACAGGCTGCTAAAATCAGCGTTCTGCCACTGCTGTGTCGCTTCACCTAAAACCTATCCTAAGCACGGGCTTTCAAGGTAGAAATTATGAGCAAGGAAAGGCAATAACTGAGCAAGAAGAGTGTGTTCCAAGAGACTGAGCCTCCAAATAGCCTCTCTCTCTGATTGCGTGGTTCTTATATTGTGAATGAAAATATGGGGTTTAAGCTTGTTAGAATAGGTTCCTGCATCAGGCCTTTAGACTTTCTTCTGTTTCTTTTCACAGTAAATAATGATAATAATCTTCCCCCAAATACTCCAATTCCCCAAATGTTGAATAACTGCATAGGAGTTCAAATCTTTTTTTCTAACTTCGGCTTGAGAGAGTTTCTCTAATAGATGGTGTCAAAGAAAGTTACATTGTCAAAAGCTGTTTTCACACTGGCCTGCAACGTTATCGAAATCACATTTTCAAATAAATAAAAAATAAATAAACAAATAAAAGGTCTTTTCCTTTCCACAMGAGACTAAACTTCCATTTTAACAGCCCAGAGCCGGGGACAGCATTTCTGAGTCTCACTATCGGGGATCAATTCCGTTAAGCAGGGAATGATAAAACGAGAGGAGAGCTCTGGATTCATCGGGTTATCCAAGAGCTACCAAGGACCAGATCACTTGTGAAGTTCAAATGGACTGTGAAATGCAATGTGCTCTAAACTAGTTTGGACACATTTTCATCAACCGTCAAATTACCAGCATTTCAACAGTAAATCCAAACTATGCTAATTAGCTGCAGACAGAAAGAGATAGAAAGAAATAAAGGGCTTATATATACACATTATATATATATACATATATATATAGTCTCAAGTGTTTACAGCCTCTTACCTCTTCTTATCACACCTCCTTGACCGTTCAGCACAAGTCCACACTGGGCCTCCACTGAACTCTTAAGTACGGAGGAGAGGGAGGAAAGGAAAGAAAAAAAAATCAGATACCAAACTCGCGGGACAGTGTTTTAGTTTGTCAGAGGACTCTCTCAACAACAATAGTTAAGGTGAAATGGAAAAACACACAACTATTCACTTCGAATTCAAAGCGAAAATATTACCATCATGCAGTCTGTTTCTGCCTCATGAAATGCAGAATAATGCCACTTTCTTTGTCATTTAAATACGAGTTTTTCCTGGACAGGGGAGGTAGATCATTAGTTACATGGCATGTATAAATAAATACACTTGAGATAAAATCCTGTTCGGTATTTATAAATATGGACGCGTTATATAGTTGCATGAATACATGTGTCTTTGGGCTTGGGAACTTAAAAATACACGGTTTTATGTACAGTATCTATGTGTTTACATACACTAATTTTCACATCTAAATATATACGTTTAGGGCCACATATATATCGACTTCCAGAGTGTACGCCGAGTGCACAAAGGGCAGCTCTTGGGCTTTGCCGTCTATACAAAGTCAAGGAGCGTGACAGTGAGGATGAGGACGATCCTCAATCTGCGAGTGTTTCTGTCCGTAGGTTTCTATCCAYAGGACCTACATGGGCACATATATGTGAGTTCGGCGTGAGGAATCCTCCAAAACCCTCCTTGCGGGTTCTGTTGCCCATCGCTTCTTTATTCTCCAGATACAACTCTTACTCTTTTGAGATCTTTGCCTTCCTCCCTTCATAAATATTTTTATTGGAATCATAAAAGACTTGAAAAGGTTGGGTTTTCTTTGGATTTTCCTTATGTTGGGGGTTAAAGGAAAAAAAAATCAGCAAACCAAACCTAAATCTTTACCCGATGGAAATGTGTTAAAGACGCATTTTCCTTTACAAACAAACGAGGTATTGGACATGAAAGAGGCCTTTAAGGGTGTTAACCTACTCAACAGCCCGTGAAGAGTTAAGTAAATGCGGAGAGAGTCGGTGCATAATAAAAACCCCACTTTACAAAACAACCTTTACAGTCCTGGCTCTCTCCCCCACTTTCACCATATTGGCGCTGGCCCTGTAAGACCTTCCTTTTCAAGGCCCTTTTTTATTTTAAGTGTTCTGCCTTAAAGTGATTATGAAATCAATATGAAAAAAACTTGGCGACTGAGCATAAATTAAAGCGGTGATGGGAAAAGGTGTGACAGTTTTCTTTGTTGCCCATGGAAAATCTTTTTAGGGCACTGAAAGATGCCACTCCAGCTCCAAGACTGTTTGCATCTGTTAGGCTGACTTAAACCGCCCTCCAAACTATTGGACATTCACTTAAAATTCTGTGCAGGGAAAAGTATATTTACATTTGTTGCATTTGAAATGAGGCATATGCTGATGAACGTTTTAAAAGGAAAGACTAGGGAGAAAGGGAGAACACTGGTTAGACCACATTTTTTGTTAGAAAGTGTTTGCGAGGTGTCCTATTTCTCTTCACCACTAAAACGCTTCTCCCTAAGCCCAAGGTGACGCTCACAACGACTAATATTTGTTCTGAATCACCCTAAATCATAAAGATAAATACTAATATTTTCAGCTACTTATTGCTCAGGCTTTTCTATACCTCAAAACCTTTCCTTCTCTTCGTAAGTGAGGAAGGAGAGGAACAACTAAATATTTGGGTACAAAGAAGTAAGTGGAAATCTATCTTCAAATAAAGTGTGATCGAAAGATGAATATTTTCTAAAGAAAGGATGTTTATTTTTTCTTCTTTAAATAAATATAATAAGAATGTGCCTCTAGCAGCTTAACCAACTCTTTTTTTTCCTTTTTTTTTTTTTTTTTTTTTTTTAAGGGGAAACATGTTGTTTGGTCGGATGACATTGCATAAATGACCAGTTGAATGGCACTAAGTCGAAAATTGGATAAACTATGGTGCTTTTTTGCCCGGGACTTAGGCATTGTCTGCTGTCTTGCAAACGTTCCTAATCCCCTCTTTTGAAAAATACAAGGCTTTGTGCCTGCCAAAGAAAAAAAATTTGTACAGATACAAAAAAATCAGCAGCAGACGTGGTTATAAAAAGGAGTAAATAGGTTTTAGTTGGACTGAGCAGTGAATGGCAGGTTTTTTTTTTTTTTTTT